GGGACAACTTTTGTCAGGGTGTGGTCTTTAGCCAGAAACCCTTGAAGTCTTTTCCAAGAGTGTTTCTCCTCTGTTCTCACCCAACTCTGGTTCTGTCTCCAGTGTTGAGAATACCCTACCCTACCCCTGAAGACTATGTGCATTCTAACCACGTGAAGTGGTTTGTTTGGAAGACTAGGTTCCCAAAGTGTCTTACCTGAGTTCCCTAGAACCAAGGAAGTTCCCAGGTGATGTTCCCAGGAACTTGTCAGCTAAGACTTCTGGGACATGATGCTATTTAAAGAGAAAGGGTAGGTCCTGGGTATAAGGCTAAGGAGCCAGAACAGGACATGAAATGCTCCAAGGAAGCTCTGTGGAAAAGGAGGCCAGGCCAATGAAGGATGGCGATAATTGTCACACTAACAATGCAGCCTTACTTAGTCTTTCACTGGCGTGCTTATCCTTAAAAATCATAGCAGGAGAATATACTCTCAGAGTATTCAAAGATTTTTGGAAATGACATCTTGGATGTTCCAAGAACTTTTGATGCTGTTTGCTGCCCCATCACCAAGAGCAGCCTGAACCTTAGCAGGGGAGAAATCCCTGAGGAAGGTACTGGAGCCTGTATGCTTGCATGTAGTTAGGCAGAGGGATAACAAACAAGTGGGCTACCACAACCTTGAGAATGGATCCCAAATGTCCATGGGGGAGTAGAGATCTGAAACCCTTTCTTATACAGTGCCAGGATGTGGAAGTGGTATACTTCCAGTGGAAAACAATCTGGTGGTTTCTTGATGTACCAAGTGACCTAGCAATTCCATTCTTTGGTAAATACCAAGGGAATTGAAAATAGGAACCCATACAAGTAGCATTATTTACAATAGCCAAAAGGTAGGGAAGTGTCCATCAGCAGAGAAAGGATAAATAGACTGGTAAGTTCATTCAGTGGAATGTTGTTGTGCATGGAGAGGAATGAAGTTCTGATACGTGCTATAACCCAGATGACCCCCAGGAACTTTATACTTTGTGACATAAGCCAGAGACAAAACGACTTATCCCTTGTGTGCAATCCAAAGAGACAAAAGCATTAGTATGGGAGGCGGGGAGAGAGAAATTATTAGGGTAAAATGAAGAGTATATCACTGGGTACAAAGCTTCTTTTTGGGGTGATGAAAATGTTTCAGGATATAGATGTGGTGGTTGGTTGCTTTCTACTATGGATGTACCAAATGTCACGTGAATTTCACAATAAAAAATTTATTTTTTTAAAACAAGGTGGCTGACATCTCTTACTAGTATAAATAAGTGATACATTTGGGTGGTACCTCTTACCACTGTGGCTGAAACTATGTTCTCTGGTACAATAGCCCTCAGCTTCTAGTAACATCCACTTAGACATTTGACATGCATACTTGACTGAGGAATGTTTTTATGTTTTTGTTTTTTGTTGTTGGTTTGGGTTTTTTTGGTTTTTTTTTTGTTTGTTTGTTTTGGTTTTTCGAGACGGAGTTTCTCTGAGTTTCTCTGCATTGCTTTGGAGCCTGTAGACCAGGCTGGCCTCTAACTCACAGAGATTTGCCTGCCTCTGCCTCCCGAGTAATGGAATTAAAGGCATGCTCCACTGACACCTGGCGGAATGTTTTTGTTTTAATTAAAGATGTTTTAAAGTCTTTTGGCTGGTGTTGTAGGTGGTGCATACTTTTAATCCTCATTCTCAGACACAGGGGAATCATGAGTTCAGCCTGAACTACATACAAGAAGACCCTGTCTCAAAAAATGGGGAGGGGCTGAGGGGCTTGAGAGATGGATTAGTGGATAAGAGCACTTGCTATGCAAGCATGAAGACCTGAGTTGAGTCTCCAATGTCTATGTTGTGGGAAAAAAATACACATATACATACACATACCACATCATTCATATATATATATATATATATATATATATATATATATATATATATATATTCATTCCCACATACATACATATCCAAAACCAGACATGGTTTGTTTGTAACAGGGATTGGAGCCAGATACCAGTTCACTGCCAGCTAGCCTAACTTCATAGGGTGGAGAGCAATAGAGGAAAATCCCCAACATCCTCTGTTCTACACTTGTACGTACAGGCATGCACACTTGTGCATGCAGCATACACACACACACACAAAAAGCCTGGAATGTAGCACGGCAGTAGATTACGTGTCTGGTGTATACAATGCCCATAGTGTGATCCTTACTGCTACAAAAACCTTTGAGAATTTTTGGCATAACTTGATCATGTTCTTGTAGTTAGATGTTCTGTGAAATTAAATACAGTTAAAATATTTCTAATAATAAAGGGGATCGGATTCATCATGAATTTTGTTAGATTTGCTAAGTACACATGAGCCCCATCTCCTCCCCCCACTCTAGACATAGAAGTGAACCTCTCTCCCTTACTCCTGGCAGATAGCTATAATCACTCTCTCCAATGGGATGGACCGTGGAGCTGTAGAGCTGAGCATCTGTGTAGACCTGGGGGTGGAGCTGGGTCTGGTCTACTAGCAATAACTGATCTGCAGATGTGCTCTGTCTGCCCCCTGCAGTGCTGCTGGGGGGAGCTGGGAGCTGAAGAAGGCTCCACCTCACTCAGCCCTGATTTAGGAGATTCACGTTTATCTTAAATAGCATGACAATGTGTGTTACAGAGCCCAGGAGTTCTGATAGTATGTTCTTGAAGATGTCATGATTGTTATTCATACTGACAAAAGGCTGTCTTTCCAGCAGTTTACAGTTTTGTGAGCATCTCATGATCTCTTCTGGAGCAGAGAAGGCTTCCTACTTGAAGGGCAGAATTCTCAGCATTAGGGTTTCTGAGGCTTATTAGGAGTTCCTACCTCATAAGTTGCATATCAGTTTTGGGCCAGAGGGCTGGAATATCTAGAATAGCTTTGTTTTAAGTTGGGAACCAAACAGTACAAGTCATTTACTGATGGAGCTGCCACATAGGCAGGTGCTCATCCCTATTTTAAAAAAAAAAAAGGTCTTTATTTTTTTTTCTTTATGTATCCATAATATTTTGCCTGCATGCTATACACCACATGTATGCAATGCTCATAGAGACCAGAAGAGGGTGTTAGATCCCATGGGATTGGAGTTATGATTATTTGGAAACCACCATGTGGGTGCTAGGAATCAAACCCAGGTCTTCTGGAAGAGCAGCCAGTGCTCTTAACCAGTGAACCATCTCTCCAGCCCCTCTCCCTATTTCTATTACCTGTACTTTATCAGTTTTGAGGTACTAATGTCGTGTCATGATTACAAAAGTTTTTGAGTTGTTTTTTTCTCACTTCTGGGAACCAACACTAAATGTTCCTGTACTGTTAGCCTGTCCTTTAGATAACTGTATTCTTGTGGACTGACACCAGGGTTCTACAAGTCAAGCTTAGCAGCCCTTAACTGTTGCAAAATGTTTAACTATGTAAAGATGTGTTGCTGTTTTACCCTGCCTGCCTAAGGCACCTGATTGATCTAATAAAAAACTGAATGGCCATTATTGAGGGAGGAGTTATAGTTGGGACTTTGGGGGCAGGGAGAGTAAGTAGGGGAAGGAATTCAGGCTGAGGGGGGTGTGGGGGGGCAGGAGCCAGCCAGCAGACATGGAGGAAGCAGGAAAGTAGTACATACAGAATAAAAGAAAGGTAAAAATCCCTAAGGCAAAAAATAGATGACCAGAAGCAGGTTAAGTTGAAAAGACTAGTGGGACAAGCCTAAGCTCAGCTGAGCATGCATAATTACTAATGTATTCATGTCTTTGTGTGTGTTGGGGGGGGGGGTTCGAGACAGGGTTTCTCTGTATTGCTTTGGAGCCTCTCCTGGAACTTGTTCTGTAGACCAGGCTGGCTCCGACTCTGCTGGGATTAAAGGTGTGCGCCACCAATGCCCGGCTGTCTTTATTTGGGAGCTGGTTTTCGTCCCAAAGAAAGTTCCAACTACACTTAACTCCCTCTGTGAGCACTGAACAGTTTTATCCCGTCAGAGTCATCATACAGGGTGGGCAACATTACACTTTGGTCCACTGTGATAGAAATTTCCTGATGAATCCAGCCAGTGACCATGAGGGATACTGCCAATGCCTCCAGTTTCTTGTGTGTGTCCTGCATCTTATTTACTGTGTCCTAATGACAGAAACAGCTGTGGCCTTAAATGCCAGTTTTGCAAAAATGCCTCTGGTGTTCTCTGTTTCACTTGGCTTCTGAGTTTCTGTGATGATGTGACAAGTTGTTTTGACTCCAATATAAGGGCTGCTGCATGGTATTGGTTAGGTGCTGTTTTGCTTGACCACAGTGTGTCTAGATTATCCTGCAGCTTGAGCTCAGCTCCTCTTGGGTTCCTTTCTGAACCATTGGAAGGAAGTCAAGGACTGGGGCTAGAGAACTCCTGTAGGTACCAAGGAGGAAGAAGGACAGGCACCTGGGCCCCTAGTCGTAGGAGGGATCTTAGAAAGATTTGTGTGTCAGGCAAGATCCTTCATCTCAGAGATCCCACCTCTTAAGGACAGCAGGAGATTGAGTGTTGGTTGCTCTTGGAAAAAAGGGAGGGACTTGATTGAGCTGGACAGGGACAAAGACGGCCTTATGGAGAAGAGCTGTCCATGGTGGTGATGCACCCATGGCCAGGTCCTGCTGGGATGAGAGGATTTTAGAAAACAGTGTCTGCCTAGTAGGAGTGGGCACATGTGACAGACAGAACACTGAGTCTGAGGACTAAGATCTATAGGATACAGGACTGCTTAAGTGCCCTCAACATGACCTCTGACTCAAGAGGTTTCCTGTGTGTGATCTCATGTCTACTCAAACAGCCACCTTGCCTTTGTGCAGGTCCTAAACTCAACCTGGGATATCTGCCCCTCGAATACTTTGCTCTGTCCCCAGTACAGTACACCTGTCCCTAAGTCTGCCCTGTTCACGGTACTAAGTATTCTTTCCCTAGTGGCTTAGGCTGTTTCCTGCCATACTTGATACAGTTTTTCCCTGCTTGTCCCAGGTGAACCTGAGCAAGGTTGGCGAGTACTGGTGGAGTGCGATCCTGGAGGGAGAAGAGCCTATCGACATCGACAAGATCAACAAGGAGCGTTCCATGGCCACTGTGGATGAGGAGGAACAGGCAGTCCTGGACAGACTCACCTTTGACTACCACCAGAAGCTGCAGGGCAAGCCCCAGAGCCACGAGCTGGTATGAGCACCGTGGCTCTCTTGTACCATCAGCAGGCGGGTGGGTCGTGCTGGTGGGAAGAGGGCATGAAGATAGGCTAGTCCTGGCTTAGTTCTGTGATGTCCTACAGAGGAAAGCCCCCACTGCTTGTCATCTGTTCCTTACCTGAGGACAGGTACATACCGCTACTCAGCCACATTTCACACCTGAGCTGCAAGCTCTGGCACACCATAGCCTAGAATTGTTTAGTGTTGACGGTTCCCCATGGGGCTAAGCCCCATTGATGGAAGGAGGGAAGGGCCAGGCTGCAGGGCCCACAGGTTCTGACTACAACAACCAATGCAGAGCAAACCAGTCAGTGGATGCAGTGAAGAGCTGGCACTGTGACGAGTGTGAGGTCTGCAGCCTGTGGGAGAGCAAGAGGCTGCTCTGACCTGCGTAGGACCCAGGGACAGACTGCTGGTGCCAGAGAGTGATTGCTTAGGTAAACACATTTGTTCCTCATAGGAACCCTGAGAGTAGCTACTTAGGGAGAAAAGGCTTTTGCCTCAGGTCCTTTTCACTGTCACATGCCCAGCCACATGGCACCTAAACTTGTGTGTGTGTAGACCAAGTGTGGCTCAGAGAGGGATCAGCAACTGGGTATAGGCTCTCTACAGAAAGCCAGCCAGGACTCCAGAGATGTTAGTGTGTTCCCTGTTGTCTCTGAAGGAGCCTTACTTCTTGGTTTGTGTGAACTGTCCCATCCTTCCCTTCAGACTAGCAGTGGTCTCTGGCACACCCTGTTGCTTCATTAGCCACTGCAGTGTGTTTTCATGGACATGTTCCCTGTGTAAGGTCGGGAAGCCTTTGGAGGCAGTACTGGTGTCTTTACCTCTTCCCCCAGGCCATACCAGGACATGTCATGAGCATGCCCTATGATGGGCAGGGTAGGTTGACTGACCGTAGGCCCTGCACAGCAGTCTGGTTTTCACAATGAGGAGGTTGAGTTTTTGATGTCTTGGTATCTTTTGTTCCTCATAGCAGCTTTAGCTGTGGGGCTGGAGTTTACTTCTCTGTCCTGGTTCCAAGTGGGGTGAGGGGAAGGACGTCTTTGTGAGTAACACGTAACACAGAGGTCCTTAGGCAGCAACTAGGAAGCTTAGAGCCCTTACTTCAGCAGAGACAGCTAGACCTGCTTGGTCACAGTGTAATCTGGTCCTGTTGGCCTGTGTCCACTGGACAGAAAGTCTTATCTGTGACCCTTTGCCTTATGGATCTGTTCACTCCTGTGTCAAGGTCAGAACCTTGTCCACCAAAGGACTCCATGTATGCGTAAGGTGGCTGTTTGGAGTGGAGGAGTGAATGTAGACCATCATCCTGGGTGAGGGAAGGAGGAACTACCAAGGACCGCTGAGAAGTTTGTGCTGCAGAGTGGAGAGACCAAGGATGAGATGCTATGACTGAGTCTTTGTTGTGGAGAAACACTAGGTAGATACTGATTGTGGTTTGAACTGCCTTTGTGCATTAACCAAACCATAGTGAGATATTAGAGAAGCTAGAAGGTTCTACAACTGTTTGCATCTCTTATTCTTAGGGTTCCTGGGATCACATCCCGTGCAGCCCACACAAATCAACACCCTCAGTGGCACTTGTCTGGGAGTTAGCAGTGCAGGGTGTGCATGATGTGCCAGGGTCTGTGCTCCCTGTCTCCCCGTCTTCTTCCTTCCCCTTAACCCTTGCACTCATCGTTTCCAAGCATACACAGCCCTCCTTTCTTCCTTTGGTGCCAGTGCCCTCTGGCATGGCCTAGTGTCACCTTCTTCAAGGACAGATGGAAAGCACTTAGTCTGCATCAGTGAGGGCAGGCATATAACTATCTTCAAGTTGTTAGGAGGCCAGCCTCTTTGATCTTATCCAGAGAACAGTCCAGCCTTGATTTCTCAGTCTCAACAGTGGTCCTCTGCAGGAGCTGGCTGCTTTGTTTCCATCCCTATATGTCTTGGGCCTCTTGTTCTGCTGGCTGCCACCCAACCAGTAGGACTGTACTTCAGGACTGTACTTATCTCCAGTAAACCAAGGCAGCTCTCTGAAAGTTCTGGTCTCCAGGATCCTCACTGCCAATTTGAAACAGGCTAGCCAAAGGATCAAAAGGCAACAGGTCTAAACATCATGCATGTGCACTGTGAACATACACACTTAATATAGCATCCCATGTGTGACCTGCTGCTAGGAAGCTGGCTCACTGCAAAGATGAGGCTTTGGGGGTGTCCCGATTTGGCTTTCTATGAAGACTGCCCTCTGCCCACAAGACATTGCAGAAACCTGAGTATGGAACAGAAGGTCCTTATAATTGTGCATAGAAGACCTGTCCATGGCTGATGAGCAGCTTCCGTACAGCTGTTTATGACCCAGCACTGAGAGACTGAACAACAATCCAGCCAAGAAGGACCCTAAGAAAAACCCTGAGGATGCTGTGGTCCAATGGAAAGAGCTTTGTCTTGAATTTGAATTGATTCTGCTGTGAACTTGCCATGGATCTGGCAAGGAACATAGAGGAAATGAGTGTACTTGCCCAGCAAGGCCTTCAAGGAACCTAGGGCCAGTAATGCATGGGTGGAATCCAGTGTGATTCCCTCGCCAGAGCTGAACTAATCAGGATGGCCAAGCAAGCCTCTAGCTATGGGTAGTGATGATACAGCCCTATAGCTGTGAGGGCTGTGTTAACTCTAGCATGTCCCACTCCCTGCCTAGTGTCAATTTTGAAGTCTCAGCTCTTTTGTACGCTTGAAATGCCTACATCTTTAGTGTACAGCACTCTGGGGTTCCATGTAAAATACCTTTAGCACCTTCTTTTATTGAACAAAGAAACAGAACTAGAGAGAGAGATCATGGTCTTGTGTCTCCTGATATAGCAGGTTAGCCACATAATCAGCACTGAAAAGCAGGCTTCCATGGGTGTTCGGGGTCACTTCTCTGGCACTGCCAGTCCTAACTAACAGAGAGAATGGAAACGGGGCCAGGCTCTTCCATCAGCCTCCATCTGCTCTGCGCACCGGCAGTCACAGTTACCAATGTGCTCTGTGTTGATGCCCGCTTACGGTGTAAACTTGAAGTCTTCTAAGTTTGCCAGAATTTCAAATTGTGCTTCTAATGCCACCAATTCTTTATGTTTTGAAGCAGTTTAATTTTGAAGTGGTAATATATATATATCTATATCTATATCTTCTGTTGTTTGAATTATTTAATGTTGCCATTATTTCACTTTCTTCCAAAGTCAGCAAATGGGATGCTCTTCATCTTTTCCCTAGTTAGATGTCTTTGAGCATGTGCCTCCAGAAGGGGTATGTAGAAGTACATAGGTGCCATCGCTCTGGCTGAACTTAGATGTGTCTGTCAAGAGCCCTCCAGCCTGGTGGCACTTATCTTCTAACCAACAGTGACTGACATTGCACAGGCAGGTGCCAACATTTCCTGTGAGTGAACTTGGTGGCATACAGAATGGTTTGATCTCTACCTGTGTTCTGAAGAAAGGGCCAAGCATTTATCTGGACGCCATGGACTTCCTCAATTGTGAAAACAAACCTAGCGGCTTGACCTTTGCCCTCTGGGTCCCCACCCAGCCACCAGGTTCTTAACGCTGTTGTTGTTCACCTTGCAGCTGGTTGAGGCTCTGCTGAAGGGCTCAGCAACCTCCCCCCTGCCTTGGTTATCTGGCTGGTCTCATCTCAGATTTGTTTGAGACTCATGCAGCATCGTATTTCTTTCTTCTCTTGGGCAAAGACAGAAGCCTGCAATGTACTAAGTATCTTTGATGTGCTTTAAGTGATGAACCTCACTTAAAAACAAGCAGAAGTTTTCTTAGCAGGAAGCTTGGATTTTGTTTAACAGTCAGTCCATAGTCCCAAGAATCCAGTAACTTTGCTGATAGTGGAAATTTTCCACTTTGCTTTCCATCTTTGGGATAAGGGAAGCAGCATGTATCCTCTGCACCCGTTCTTTGGGATTGTCTACAACAGGTACTCCATTCGGGGGTAATCTCTAGCCATGCATCTTGTTCAGTCTTTTTGGTTTCTTGTGGTTGGAAGGAACAGGAGATCTTCCCATCCTTGAGTACATTTGTGGTAGCAGCTGAGAAAGGCAGATGCTCAGAGGAAGGCTAGGCCATCAGCATAGACACAGGTGCTGCCCTCAGGGGCACCACCTCCCTGCTTGTCCTGGCTGTAACTACACAATTCCAAGCTGCCTCAGACCTTCAAAGTTCAACAGTGGCCATAGGTGGGAGGAGCTGAGTCCCTCGGCTCTTACTGTATCCTCAGAAGGCAGTGGGGCATTTCTGAGGGCCAGTTCTACAACTGGCCACGTTCAGGTCTCTCCTGTCTTCTGCATCGTCACATTTTGGATCAAACCTGTATTGTCTAATGACGCATTTGTCGATAACAAGAACTTCGTTCCTTGGGAAAGGGGTGCTAGAACACCTCTGCATACCTTAGTCATGTTCCTAAAGGGCTGAGACACCACCCCATCTTATCTTAATCATCTCCCTGGAAATTACTGTAGGTTCTGTGGGTTGTGTGGAATTTGGACAGACCTAATGGGAAAGGGACAGAAGATGAACCATAAAGAACAGTCAGTGCTTTACTGGAGACCGAAGCCGGAAAGCTAAGATTCAGTCTTGGGAGAACAGTCTTGCAAAGGAATTGGCAGTCCTTGGGCACAAACTACTGCAGGGTCTGCAGTCCTCTGGCCAGTTGGTCCAGTTGGTCCTAGCAGGCAAGTCCTCATGCCCTGAGGAAGCAGCATGGCTCTGTGCCTACAGGCAGTCTGTTCTAGGAGAAAGCATGCAGTGCCTTGTGACCTCCGTTAATCTCTCTATTTTCTGTTTATAGAAAGTCCATGAGATGCTGAAGAAGGGGTGGGATGCTGAAGGCTCTCCCTTCCGAGGTCAACGATTCGACCCGGCCATGTTCAACATCTCCCCTGGGGCTGTGCAGTTTTAATGACCAGAAGGAAAGGAAACCCTCATCATCGGGGAGGTGGAGATCTCGTCCCCCCCACTCCCTGCATGCCGGGGACTCACTCCTCTTGATCAGTCCTCACCATTCTTTCTTTCATGATGCGCCAGGGCCTTCCATGCTGACTTTGCACCTTCAGACTATTCTAGAGAAGGTACAGGGCCTGGTAATCACTATGGCCAACACTAAATGAAGGTGTTTGAAATTAGGGAGGGACATGTCCCAGCAAACTGGGAGTACATGCTCCGTCTCCACAGCAACCAGCCACTACAGGCAACATTTCCTTCCTCCCCTGTTCTCTCTGCTTGCTGTTGTTTTGACTCTATTCTGCTTGCTTGTCTTCTGACTGGGGATAAGGAATGGCTGGGCTCTCAGACAAAGCTAAGTTGAAGAGTGTGGGGCCTGGCACTTGCATGAGGGCAGATGGAGCCTGGCTCTGGAGCTGCTCCTAGGGCTGCTGTGGGACCCTCGCTTGTTGACCTCTTTGTGTGTGTGTGTGTGTTCAGTCTTGCTCATCTCTTTGTGAATACACTTAGCCAGCCTCAACTTCATGGGCAGAGCAGCAGAAATTGGGGTCTGTTTGCCTATTGGAGATGTTGGGAGAAAGTCTGAGGTTCTGGCCTCTGGCCCAGATGTGTCAAGGATGTTGTCTGCCTTCTGACTGCGGCTACCTTACTTTGGTTCTTGTTGAAGTGAACCGAGCCTGGCCACCACCACTTGCTCCCCACAAAGACCTCCTCTTGGATGGGCTGCAATGAAGCCTGGGTACCGTCAGGAAGATACCACAGCATGTTAGTAGTTCATTGGTACACTGTGTCATCCTCACTCCCTGTGCAGCCTTGACCTTGATGGATGCCTCAGGAAGGAAAACATATCCACTGGCTTGAAGGCAACTACAAATGAGTCCAAGAATATGAAGATTCTCCTGTGCCAATCACCAGACTGCTTCCTGGAGCTCAGAGCCTCTGTGACTGCAGACCACATTCAGCCAGGATGTGAAGACCTGACCAAAGGCCAAGGACACAGGTGTCCCAATCCTTTACAGGGCCCTGTCTGTGCCTGTTGCTGCCTGGCATCTCTGTTTGCCTCTCAGTTTTGGTGTATGTGTGTGTGTACAAGTTTCTGTACTCTACTAACCATATACCAGCGGGAATTAAGACCCACCAAAGCCAAGGCAGTCTGCACTCTCGAAATAGCCCTGTGCTGAGTGTGGTTTGCACTTGCTTGGAAGGAACCACTGGAAGATCAGGTTGAGGACTTATTTCGAGAGTCTTCCTGTCAGCTGTGTAGACTGGAACTGGTCCATTGCGGTCATTTGAGGGATTTCTGGTTTACAGTTGGTAGCTGATGGCTCTTGTAAGAAGTCCATACTGAGAGTTAATGTGTGGGTCCCGGTAGGGCCAGGGGGATGGTGAAAGGAGAGCAGTGGGCCCCAAATACCCACCCTGAAGTCTGAACTTGTGATTGGACATTGGTCACCACGTTGATGAAATCTCTCTGAAGTGATCACCTTAGGGGAAAAGAATTTGTCACATTCACGAGATTCCCCAGGACACTTTTGCTACTCCCCCCCCCCCCCCCCCGGACATTTCCATTAAGGTCCTAGGATGTGCCATGCAAGCTGTCCCACCTAATGAAGGAAATCTCTTGGTGTGTCTGTATCTCCAGTCTTCTTTGTAATCCTAGTTGGCTCCTCTTCAACCCTCATCCTGTGGGTAGTCTTCCAGAAGGAATAATGAAGTGGGCGAGCCCTACATCTTTTATTTGGGACAGTGTTTCACTTCTGTGGCAACTTACCTTCCTTTGGCATGGTTTTGTTTCCAGCATTGCATTTCTCCTTTGTCCCTGCCCTGTTTCAACAAACAAGCCAGTGTAGAAAAAGCAGCCTGGGGAACAGTATTAGATGTAGGCCATATGGCAGGAGCCTGTGCTCTGTGAGTGATCCCTGTGGCATGTTACAGTGCATGGTGTGGTGGTGGCTACTGTATCCACATGTCTTCATCACAGTGGGACTCAATCCCAGCCAGCCAAGTAGATAGTTGTTTGCCCCGAGGAGCTGCCCTGGCTCAGCCACCCACTGAGGCTGGCACATTGCCTGTCTTCTCTTTTTAGACATGACAGCCACAAGTTGGTCTCTAAATCCCACCTGCTGAGGACTGAGGAAAGCAGGGTGATTTCATCTCCTGTCCAAAGACCCAGGAGAGTTGTGTGTCCAGCCTACAAAGCTGCTCTGCCTCCTCGGTGTTGGTTTGCAATAAATCTGTATTTAAGCAATTCTGGGTCTGTTTGTTACATTCACTGCCAATACACTTCTGTAAGTGGTCATTATCCTTGACTTCTAGCCATGAGTCCTGAGGTCCTGTACACGGTCAACACCAAAACTGAATTCTCTGGGTTATTTCTCATCTAGGCTGTCAAGCTGTCACTAGTTTTAGAAATTCGATTAAATGATTAATCAGTTGTATTATTTCAGGCATTGTCTGGGCTTCTGTTGTACCTAAAGGCCCATTCAGAATCCTGAGCCATCGTGCCGGAGATCCTTATCTCAGTTAGGGTTATTACTGCTGTGATGAAACACCACAACCAAAAGTAACCTGGGGCAGAAAAGGTTTGTTTGGCTTATACTTCTACTTTCAGTCCATCATTTGGGAAGTCAGGGCAGGGACTTAAAACTGTGCAGGACTGATGCAAAGGCCATGGGGGGGTGCTGCCTACTGGCTCATTTCTCAAGGCTCGCTCAGCCGACTTCCTTATAGAGCTCAGGACCACAATCTCAGGGATGGCATCACCCACCACGGCCTGGGTCTTCCCCTATCAATCATTTATTAGTTAAGAAAATGCTCTGTAGACCTGCCTACAGGCAGATCTTATGGAGGTACTTTTCCAACTGAGATTCTCTTCTCTCAGATGACCATAGCTGTGTCAAGTTGACATAAAACTAGCCAGTACTGTCTCCCCCAAGCCCTTAGAACATAGGCTCTCACCGGTGCATAATCCTGCATTTGACTCTGAATCCACTCACATCTCAGACTGTTCCTTTCTGTGTTCGGCTCTACCCAAGAAGATCTGTCACTGACCCTACTCCCTCTCATTAGGCAGGATGTGTGGGCTTTGAAATTAGCCTCTTAAGTGAATGAAGAACACTATAATTGCCCATCTAATTCCTAGGACAAGAAATAACCTTCCTTTAAATAAATAAATAAGACAGATGTCTTCACTGATTGGCCCTGAGAGTACGGGAGTGAGCACAGTCAGGCATTTTGTGTGGAAATATGTCCAGGAGGCGTCAGCTGCTGTGCAGAGAACTCACTGGCCAGAACACTGTGCTTGGGGAACAGACCCTCACCCCACCTCAAATCTGCTCCTCAGTCGAGCCAGCTGGCAGCCAGCTCAGCCAGGAACTAGATGGCCTGCTTTTGTGAGTAGAAAGCATGGAGTTAGTACAGAGCCCCGCCAGTACCCAGTAAGCTCTCCCGTTTTGCCAGTGGCCTGGTGGCCCTGCTCACCCTGATGCAAAAGCTGGGAATTCCACAGGATGAGGACAGGCTGTGGCCAACTGAGGTTGATGTTCCCTTCCTGCCTGAAGGTCTGGAGAATAGAAGTCTGAAACAGCGTACTGCCCGGGAGCCTTTACTGGGCCTCAGAAGATGCTGCACAGATGTGGGCTCCTCACAGTCTTGCTTAGTGATTGTACAGTCAGTCACTCAGGTGAGAAGAAAAATTCATGTTCTTTTCAATTCAACTGTTAAGGTGTTAAAATCCTTTATTTTTGGTATCCTTTCTCATTCATTCATTCATTCATTCATTCATTCATTCATTTATTTTGAGGCTGGGTTTCACTGTATAATACTGGCTGTCCTGAAACTCACTGTAAATCAGGCTGATCTTGAACTCACAGAGATCTGCCTCCCAAGTGCTGGGATTAAAGGCATGTGCCACCACCACCCAGCTTTGGTAGTTTTTTGTTTTGTTTTTGTTTTTAGAGACAGGGTTTCTCTGTGTAGCAGCTCTAGCTGTCCTGGAACTCACTCTGTAGCCCAGACCGGCCTCGAACTCACAGAGATCTTCCTGCCTCTGCCTCCAAAGTGCTGGGATTAAAGGCGTGTGCCACTACCACTCGGCTTGGTTTTATTTTTTAAGACTGAAAATTGGTAAGTTTGTCCTCAAATTGAGGACAGAGCCCCGGCATACCTGTACTCAGTGTTGTCAGTGTTGGATCTACTGTCTGTTCTCCCCCACCCCACCCCACCCCCAGTCAAGAGCCCAAGATCCCACTGCACATACAAAAGGCCTTGAGCCAGGGAAAGCAGGCTGCCACCTGCAGCCTGGTGGCTCCCGGCTGCTCCTTTGGTGGCATCGGGGAGCAGAGCCCATCACAGTGCCAGCTCACCCTTGTGGCTGTGGGGGTGGTCCGCAGAGTGAGAACAGTCAAACTCCAGCCCAGACTGGGCATCACTGTAGAGTCAGCCTCTGGATAACCGGATGGACTCGTGTCTGGGTGGTAGCCTTGCCTAACTTCCTACTGCTGCTTCCTACTGGGTTTTGCAAGGAGCTGGACAAGGACTCAGGAACTTCCTTGTACACTCTTCATGGTGGTTACAGGAGCAAGTAACCCCCAGAACTGAGTGGCCTGTGACTATCTTCTCTGTCTCCAATTACCCTTGTCACCCAACTGGCACAAAGCAGTTCCCCTTTACCCCCATTTGTCATTATCTGAACTGTCAACAACCCACACAGGTGCCTCAGTGGCTCTCCAACCCTTTGCTGAGGACAAGGGTCTACCTTCTGGTACAGGCATTGTGTAAGGCCAGGATAGGAAAGAGCCACCAGAAGACGGGGTTAGCGATGTGGGCTAGGGCTTAAAGCTGGCCTTTCCCGTAGGCAGACAAGCTGCTCAGTTGTGGTTCTATGGTGGAAGCTTGACTAACAACTGTTCTCAGTGGGAGCTAATGGCCTTATGTATGGAACTCCAGCTTATAGGACACCGTCATACATAGTGGTCCTCAGAGAAAGACTACAGGCAGGACTCTGGCCATCAGGAGGTCCCAGCATCACTGAGTGGCCACCACTCTTTAATCTACAGATCAGAGAAGGAATTTTGTTAACTCCAAGGCAACATTTCTAAGCCTGGCTCTATGCAGAATGTGATTGAATTCAAGGTGAGTTAGCTGACTTTGCCAGACCTACTCAGTCCATCAGGCCAAAGGTTTGAATCAAGCAAAGCCCAGGACAGGCCTGGGAGGGAGATGGTGGGCTTCATTTGGACAGTGTCATCTCACTGTCCTCCCACTATGGACAGAGACAAGTAAAGAAGGAGTCAAAACTAACCAGAACACCAAGGATGTTCCACTTGTCCACTTTGTTCTGGAGTGCCTGGGCCACAGGGCCTAAAGTGGATGCTACACCTGCCTACCTGCCACTATTTTTTGCTTTCCATATGTACCAGCATCTTCCGGCATAGACAAAAGTTAGCATAATACCTCTATGCTGAAATTTCCTAGCTCTGTACCTTATTATTCCCCACCCTTAACTCTGTGTGGCATCCTTTTTTTTTTTTTTTTTTTTTTTTTTTTGAGACACCCACCCACCCAAATCACATGTGTTCCCTTATCTCTTGGGGCATGGGCTGCTTCCTGCTAGTCTCTGGTCTTCCCAGTACCTTTGAGAAGTCTAAAGCCAAGCAAGCCCAACCCACCTCCCTGGCTGTTCTCCATGTGTGGTAGTGAGTGTTTTCAGAGGTAGTCTGCTCCAGGATGACAAGAGTCACCTCAATTATCCCCAGAAACTTGAGGCAGCCCTAGCCACAACTAAAAGTGATGAAACCCAGAAAATGGAGCAGTATTGTCTGTTGCTGCTGGTCTTCCGAGTGATATTTGCAGTTAACAGAAATACCTTTGTCTCTTGGCTGATGGGCTCCTTGCTGCCAGCCCTGACAGTGTGTGTGTGCCCTAGAGTGGGTGGGTTTACACCTTGTTCCCTGTTGCCTTTTGCTTCCTCCATAACTTAGAAACTCTTCTGCCCTTCCTAGATCCCTTCATCCAGATGGGCACCTAACATCAGCCATGACATCAGATACTGTCCTGCCTTTGTGGCCACTCACAGGGCGGAGGGAGCCACGGCAGGCATCTCATATCTACTCCTGACTGAGCCAGCAGGATGTTGTTTGAAAATATGCATTGAAGCTTTTAAAAGATAATTAGCTGGACCATTTGGTAGCTTCCATTCATAAGACCAGTCAGATTCAGGTGTGTCTTCCAACAGTTCTGCCAAGGCACTGGTTCTAGAAGCCCATTTGGGAAGAGGAGACTTTGGATAGTGATCTATCTGTAAAGACCATGGATGTCGTTGATTGTTTTCCCAAGTAGAAGCGTTGGAGCCAGTTTAAAGATGTTTCTCCTGGCCCGAGAATCTAAATGGCTCACTTGGTAAGTGCTGCACAAGTGTGAGGGTAAGTTCAGATTCCCAGACTCGGCATGCCGTGATCCTCAAAGACAGAGGGTCCCCGGAGCTTGCTGGCCAGCCAGTCTCATCAAATAGGCAAGTCCCAAACCTTGCCTAAAAAAA